CTATATAAATTTTGATCATATTTACATAAAGGTCACTATATACAAAAATAAGATAACTATATCAATTTTTAGAATATTTACTTAGAGGTCACTATATACAAAAATAGGGTAACTATATCAATTTTGAGCATATTTACATAAAGGTCACTATATACAAAAATAAGGTAACTATATCAATTTTGACCACATTTATACAGAGGCCACTATATATAAAAATAACGAAGGTCACTATATATAAAAATAAGGTAATTATATAAATTTTGACAACATTGACCATATTTATATAGATGTCACTATTTACAAAAGTAAGGTAACTATCATCAGATAACTTCTCCTTCTCCGGCCTCCTTGTCATCAGATAACTTCTCCTGCTGCTCCTTATCATAAGATAATTTCTGCTGCTCCTCCTTGTCACCACCAAAGGAGTAGTCCACTGGCTCCAAACCCGACAGTCAAAGCTCATCAAACGGACAAACTTTCCTGCTTCACAGTCAGTCATCACCTGTTAGATAGCAGCCAGATTTTGGTAACATTGTAATAGTACCCTCCCTGCCACAGAACTTGCACTGAAATAATGAAAGGGTGATTGATTAGCAACAAGCCAAAAACACAATGTAACTATCACCATTACCAATGTAAGAAAATCCAAAATTTAGAAGGCAATAACACACAAAAAGCAACAGAATTTTAATAGCTGGAATGGAACAAAGTTAACAGCTCACAGAAATTTTATACATTGTAATATAATTCAGGCATCAAATGTCAATTAAGTGTAAACCAGAAAAATGCAGAAATGCAACACGTGATTCATACATATCAAAGCATCAAACACATTCTATAAGCTGCTGGACATTATTCAAGGCTTAGTCAATACAGATATAGCAACAACGTAAGCCATATATCACTTGAACGGGCACACTATTATTGAAAAAGATGGAATCAGTACAGCAAATGACTGAACAATAGATAAAAAAAAAAGAATTCTAAGAGCCAGAGCAGAAGTACTAGTACAACATCAATACACTATCATAAACCATTCCCCAAGTGCCAATACAAGGCCATCAATTGACATCCGGAAGAAACATATTAAACAAGTCCTAATTCCTAAGCAAATAATCCTAAGATAACAGAATTGCAGAAATTTCATACCAAACTTAAACGCTATATCATGTTGAACAGTTCAATAAATCAGACAGGTATCAAAACAACGAGGAGAAATTTCCAGTTTGCAACCCTGGTGTTCATAATCTTTAAAACATGTTCAATACTCCTGTAATGGATGAAGAAGCTTAAGGGGTATTCAACTCGCTTCTAGCAAATTGGCAAGGCTTCTAATGGAGCTTCTGCCATTAGTTCTAAACATATACTCCTATGACTAAGAAAATAAAAACATGTACTCCTATGATTTTCTAATTTACTCAAACCTAATTTACTCATTAGAAGATTAATTTTAGACCTAAGTAACACCTCAAATGTTGACAGTCAAATTACAAATTCAATAGAAATGAATAATTCAACTCTCGCAAAATTCAAGCAAACATGCTTTTCGGTCAAAATTAATCGACAAAATTAAAATATAAACAAAGACAATACAATATTCTGATGCACCAACATTTTTCATCATATGTACAATGGAAAAATTCAAATAAACATTAAAAAAATTCATCAATTATCAAAATTCAAATCGTTAAGCTAAAAAAATAACGGAAAAACACACTCACTCTTCCATAAGCGTTCTTCTCGAGGTCATTAGCAAGCAGATCAGCAATGTCTTTCCTCAAAAACTTCTCCGTCGCATTTCATTCGTCGGACAACTTTGATTCGAGTTCTCGTCTGCTTAATCAACGATTTACTGCAATTTCAATCCAAAAAAAACAAAACTCAAAATCAATGAAATGAATCAAAATCTAGCAAAAACGAGTTAAATTTGGTTGAAAAAGTGAAACAAAAATTACGAAATTAAGTACTCAAATCAAGCAAAATAACGAAATTAACACAAATAACTTACTTGATAATAGATTGTAGAGCTAAGAAATTGCTGAAAATCAAAGTAATTGAAGCTAGATTTGAATTAGTAGCATGAAATTGGTAGAAGAATTGGAAAAGTAGGAGAGAGAAAGTAGCAGAGAGAAAGTAGGAGAGAGAAAATAGAGGAGGAAAAAGTTACGTGCAAATGAAGGAGGAGAGAGAAATTGCTATCATTTTGCTTTAATTTGGGGGAAAAATCTGAACCGTTAGATGAGGGGTGAGTAATAGATCATAATCTACGGTAGAGATTGCATGTTTTCAGTTTTCAGTTTTAATCTTGTTTTCACGTGATCCACACTCTATATATATATATATATATATATATATATATATATATGTCCTCGTATCATATCCAAATTACGAACACTTTAACATGAAAATTAACCAATTAGATGTTTCATTATAAAAGTCATTTGTCAAAGAAATTATATTCCATGTCGCATAAGTTAACTCGTAAACATAATTACTAAATAGTGCAAATTTAACATTATAAGTTACTAAGCTCGAATATTATGTACATTATACATATGCCTCACCATAATATGCAAATGCATGAAGCATCATATATGATTATTAATTAGTTACTAAAGTATTATAATACCCTAATAGGTACAATATTATTATATGCAATTGGTTAGAAGCTAAACCCGGCTATATGTAAGTACTGCCTTAACTACTATCGGTTTTAAAAACAACCACTAATAATTACCGATCCCCATTCCAAACCCAAATGGCTCGAGCATCAATCAACCTTTGGGCTAGTTCTCCGCGAACTTGTAGGCTAATAACGTCGTTTGCACCACCAATAAAGTTCCCTCCAATGAAGATGGCCGGAACACTTGGTACGTGCCCCATCGTTCCTAGGGCATTTTCAACTTCTTGTCTATTCGATAGCTCGTTTAGCTCGTACACTATGGGATTTGCACCATAGCTTATAAATAGATGCTTCATAGAATGGCTCACTGGATCTGTACTATTCTTGCTAAATATAACCACCGGCTTTTCATCTACTAACGGCCTTAAGGTGTCCATGACTATCACAATGATCGAATTATGTCGATGCCTCACCTCGATCGATCTCTTTCTTTGTTTGAAGTGTTGGTGATATTTATTTGGATTAGGGCACCTTGGATATATATGTGCATAATATATAGGAGTTGAAAAAGGGTTCGTTGTTACAAACTTACAATATCATTGTCAAGGTTAAAATAAAAAAAATATGAGAGGGATGCTATTCTCGAAATTGTGAAGCTAGACAAAAGGAGCTTTTTTTAATGATTCTTATATTATGCCTTTGACAATTAGATTATCAAGTCTTGTCTTAAGATTTATCTCCTTAGGCTCTGTTCTTTTGAACTGTTATGATCTGCTTTGTTGAAATCTGCTCTACTGCGCCATGCTCGCTTAGTATTAGTAGTTTGCTCTGCTCTGCTAAAATATGCTTAGAAATTCAAAAGAACATGACCTTACGCCACTACTATTACCATAGCAAAAAAAAAGGCACGCATTATACTGATTATGGTACTCCCTTCGTTCCACTGAATTGTATTACCTCACAAAAGTTGATCAAGTGGGGGCAATTTAAGTGGGACTGAGGAGTACATGCAACACCATATAGAACATGTTACACGTTAATACTACTAGTAATGTGTAGTATCGATTTGATATTTTGTCTCTAGACTGGTTTAAGGATTTTTATTAACAACCTAACTTTTGATTGATGCCATTTTTGGATGATCATGATTAAGGCCTCACCATTTACGTTTTGAATTACTCCGCTCCCTCCATTTCAAAGACATAGTTAAAGCCTTGAATAATGAGGTCCAGATGCATATAACCTTATATTCAACCACTTTGTAAAAGTATAACAAAATCTATCACAATTATTCATTATTTATAACCATCTTTAGTAACTTTTTTTAAATAAAAATCAAGTGAACTAAACATGACCTATTTAAGAAAACCTCTATTACAATTTATAAATGGCTTTACAAGATGTGAAGGGTCAACACTCGAATCCGTCTCATCACTTTCTTACGAAGAAGACAAGTAACTCCTTTTACTATTGAAGAAAAAAAGCATATATGGATAACAAAAAGGAATATCATGTTGAAAAGGTTTACGTAATACATAGTTTCTGATGCTAATTGAAGAGGTTTGGTTGGATATCATGTTGCAAAGTCTTCTCCGCGTGTCTTATGTTTACCAAAGTTATGTTAAAGTTATAATCCACCACATATCTCCTGGCTCCCTCCCGATTCTAGGATATCTTGGGATCGATTCTCACCCCTGTCCTTGTGACTCTCTAAACACCGGAGAAAAAAAAAAAAAAAAAAAAAAAAAATCTGTACATGACTTCCAATTCGGTTCCTAAACCTCAATGTTCCCCACTGTAGTTTGGAAATGCAGTCACATACTCCATATGTCCTCAACTATTTGTCTTTAGTATTTTGACCATTCCTCAAATAAGTGTCATGTTACCTTAATTTTTCTTTATCTGACTCATCTACCTAGGCGGTGTGGATCTTACCACTATCTTACTGTCATTCTCTTTCTTTCTCATCTCATAAGATGTGAGATCCTTCACTAACTCTATATCCTTCGATCGATTATTATAATATTCAAATGTGATTCTTTCATTTGTAGAAAAATGTTGATGTACTACTTCACCATTTCTACATAATGGCTATAGGTGTATGAAACTAGATTAAATTGGATTCATTCAATTTTGTTAACGTGATTCAGAATGGAAAGGATAAACATAATGGCTAGCATACGTTGGTGCACCATTCTACACCCTCGGTCCATTAAAATTGTCCATTCCTTGATTTACTCTATCAAGTTATTCAAGAAAGATTGTGGGGATGACCTTTAAGAAGGCTCCAGATGTTAACGTGACAATCTTTAAGTGATAGAGGGGATACCTGAGTTACATAGAGATAATAGTGTACCATATAAGCAAACAATGTGAGTGACATTTTTTCATCTTCTGCAAAATGTTAATATTACTTTAATAATAACCAGCCTCTCTGTCCCACAAGAACAAAATGAATTTCATACATAATAAAACCTTGTGCCTATTGGTAAATCGACTTAATTCTAGCTGCTGAATACTTTCCAGCGAACAATGATCAATGTTGCTAACAACAACCACTGCAGAACCTGACCATCCAAGAAACTCAAAGCTAGAATATTACAAACAGAAGCCAATCTGAATGCTTGTATAATAGCAGTGTTTTAATGTCTACTACAAAATTGATGTGGACGAATGAATCAGTTATCTGATGTCGACTCCTCCTGAGGAATTTGCTTTTGTGTTACACGAGTATTATATGAATTGCAATGACTGCACTTGTGCCCAAATATGTGGAATTTCACTATGCTTGTAACACTGCAATCATTGCAGAGGATTGATACCTGCAAAAATTTCTTCCTGTATCAATATCTTGTTCACTCAAATGAGAATAGATATAATAATCACATTTACCAATTTTGGTGTTCAGAAAAATTCCTCAGTTCCAAAACATTTCCATAATATCATATGGTAGATTTATTCAAAATATTCTTTGTGATTGGGAGTTCACGAATGTCATATTAATCCAACAATTTTAGTCTTTTACAAAAAGGGCCGATTATCAATGTGACAGCAAATGGATTACAGTATGATATTACTATGGCTATTGATCCAACATGATTAATAACAATAGCATATGGTAAAATAATATTCAACTACACATGTCAGGAACCTGAGAATATATTCAAGTTCACAGCTTTTGATATGTGCCAAGTTCATAGTCACATTCAAAACATTCAACTACAGAGTATTATTGGTCATTTTATACTACAGCATTTCTGCAGATCCTACTAGGACAATGAGCATGTTTTACAGTTTACAAAAAATGGGTAACAGATGAAGTCCTGCGATGCTATACTTGGTTTTGTCGTTTCACCTCAAATGTACCTATGTCAGGTACATGACACTCTGACATGTTTATGAGCAATTGTTACTTCATTTTGAATTCATAAGTCTATAACAACGAAGCCTTTCATAAAGTCGACAAACCTAACTCTTTAGAACAAATACCCGAATCCAAACTGATTACCCTAGTCTGAGGAGCATAGAAGTCCATATGCAATTAGAAAAACACTCATGTGAATTTTTATGATAATTATTATTTGACCCATCCCTTCTCTCCTAACTGACCCTTTAGTATTTGTTGTTGGGTACATCTCTTATTCTATAATTTCTCATTTCTCAAGAATTCAACCTCAAAGACAACTGTAGGAAGATTGGTAGAATAAATAAGACTAAAATCTCAAGGAAATCTCACAAGTGATCTACCTGCCTAGAATTTTATCCTTAACACTAGTCCTCTATAGGTATAGCAGAAACGTCCCTGTAGTGGAGCTATTCACTAGCACCTTCAAGATACATTACAAATGCAGATTCAGAGTAGTGAGCCATGGAGCATATACCATCAACACTGGCTCCACGCCTCAGCCTCACTAAAGTTGTATATTAAAGAATTATAGTGGACGGCTTAGAATAACCTTCCTCTGGTCGTTACTCTAGTTGCCTTTGAGATAAAGGGCTTGAAGGGTCGAAAAGTTCAAGAGAAACAATCACAACAAAAGTACAAAACCAGAATAAGTGGTACCTCATATCGATACTCATCAGGCATGATAGTAGCTTCAATCTGCAATCCACATAAAATATTTAGTAAACCAAATTACATATCCATCTCAGAAAGAGAAATTGACATTAACGTAACTATATCTCTCAGGACACGTAGCCTCCTAGATAAGAAAGTACATAAAGAACACAAGCATCTAAGAGTCGCCTAGAAAATGCATCATGACTTTCATGGCGACCATATTGGTCAGGTTGAAGCTAAAAATCAATGCTACAACAAGAGAACAGACAAGTACAGCAGCTGCTGCTGCAGGCCTACAGGAACTAACCACCAGCAAAGCACCAGTACAAAATAACAAGATAATGACAACAAAATGCATATAGTAAGAATCCAGCTATGGACAAGAATCCAACAGAGATCCAAATTGGACATATATACCTTTCCTCTAATTTGGATAAATTGGTAGAGAAGTTTATGAAGAGCCAGCCAACAAAAAAAACCAAAAAAAAAAAAAAAAAAAAAAGATTGAGAAGTGCAATTTGATTTGTGAAGAATGATTCAGGGATAGTTGGTAACTTGGTAATTCACCAGTAAAATTAAGTGTCATGCGGCAATCAATTGACCAAAATCTTGAGATAAATCATGATGAACATGTCTTAAATTACTATAGTCTTTTCAAGATACCACTAAATTAATAAAGTGGCGTATTATATTGTTTTACAAGCCATGTTTTCAAGAAATAAAACATTGAAGGGAAATTAACCATCCCTTAAACCACACACCACATCATAATGATAGCTTTTTACAATCAAGCAACCTATAACCTCAAGCCCCACTTCTATGGGCATTATCAGTAAATATGGAACTTTCAGACCCAATCTGCTAAAATTTTAACAGATTCACACATGAGGACATCAACAATCAACAATTAGCAGTGCAGTTAGCATTAGCAATCAGCAGATTGCATTAGCCAGAACCAATAAGGAGTTTAACGGGGAAAAGTTGGCAGGCAAGAAGTTGCCAATTTCAACAAGCAAACCAATAAACAGAGGCCATGTTTTTATTGGGAGAGATTAGAATGAAAAGAGTATGGCCTCTTTAATGTGTTCTAAGAGATTAGAAATTGATATTTACTCACTGGAAAAAGTATGGTGTCTTAGCAAGAATAATGTTCTTCAAAAACACACAATGGAGGTCCACCCGACACAAGTCAATAATTGCACCTCTTCCTTCTGTTCACAGCTTAATAGTGTGGTAAAACAAGTATTGCATACGTAAAAACAGTCAAAAACCTCTCCATAATCAAAATATAAAATAAAGAGAATAAGTTTGTAGGGGGGGAAGGGGAAGGGAGTGGGGAACTACTCACAGCTAAAGACACTCTTTAAACACTATCATTCCTTGATAATATCCTGAATTCTTTCAGTAAAATCAATTTTTCTAGTAGCAATCTTATATCCTTGAACTTGAAAGAGACTTACACTTTGTTTGGATTGAAGGAAATGGAGGGAAAGGAAGGGAAGAGAAATTGAGGGATAGACTCTCACTTGGATAACAAATGAGGAAGGAAGGAAATTGGAGGGGAAAGAAATGGAGGGATCAAATTGCAAGAAATTAATTTGGAAGGAAAACTCTTCATTCTTCCCTCCCCTTCCCTTCCCACCCCTTCTCCTCCCTCCCTTTCTTTTCCTCCCCCCAAATTTATCCAAACACACTGTTAGAGACCTCAAACATCTCTTTCAGGAATTTTATTTTTATTTTTATTTTTATTTTTTTTATTATTAATTTTTTTTTTCCCTATGAGAAGAAAACAGCACCATTCACAACCATGCCATTACAGCAGTACAGCAGAAATAAGCTAACAAAATGACAGATGCAATTTTAGCTACACCATGAAATAAGTATAAAGGTGCCCTAGAAAACACATATAGTAATCTTATGTAACTACCATTATCTATCCGCCAATGTCTCTTTTACATTACTTATCTCTGAAATTGTATACTCACACATCTGATATTTTTACGAACAAGCACAATAATAAAGGATCAATATTCTGTGTTTCTTATACCATATTCTGGCTTCACTTCAGATACCAATACAGTTCATGCATATGCTTTCAGTAGATGGATATGTATGCTCATTAATTTGAACAACAACTAAATCAAGTTAGTAAAATTTCAAATTTCCAAGGAAGAAAATGAAATATGAAATTTAAACAAATAAAATAACTTGTCACCTCCTCATCCAATTTTTCCCAGTTTCTTGCCATGTCCATACTTGACTTGGAGCATAAGGGGCATCGATACCTGATCCATGAAGGAATAGTAGCATCAAAATACAGAAAACGATACATATAATCAAAATCTATTTAAAAAGAAGGAATGCAAAGGACAGAAAACAATTTCAAACCAACCAATGTGTAATGATCTCGTCATTTTTGACAAAAAAATAAAATTAAATAATGGACAGGAAAAAAAGAGGGAAGTGAGGGAAGATCAAGTCTCTGCTCCATCTACATTATAAAAACGATTTCGTCTACCTTTAGGCAGCACTTCATATTAGCTTTCTATGGTTTTAAACGAAAAGTCGTGAACATTTGAATAGAGGTTCAGAAGTGTTAGAATATGCCTTCAATATATTTGCCTCAATACAATCATACGAACAACATTATCCATTATGTTGGGCAACGTTTCACAAATAGATAGTCATAGTTCACAAAAGCCAATACAGAAGTGAATGGAAGACCGTGACATTCATTTGATATTACAAGAAAGCTGCAGTTATTTTCACAATGATGAATAAAGGAATATATGGCATATTTTATGATCTCCGACTAATATTTTTGGACTTCACATAATTGATAATACTCTTCCCTTTAACGCAGGGCATCTCACTTCAACAGTGAAAGACCATGGTCCATCTTTCAAGTAACAAAGAAAAAGTTTGTGTCATGGTATATGAAATTTAATGAGCTTGAATCTTGGGCTTTTGGCAAGAAAATTTTACAATATAGATAAGTTTCTTACTACATAGTACAGAGATATTCATTAGAGCAAGGCGGCGGTGGAGAAGCACTTAGAAGTCTTTCTTGGAAACATGCTAATAGCTTATGATAAACGAGCAAAGTAACAACCCTGCTGAACTAATTGTTATCAGACCAATCTAGTAGCCTTTGCTTATTTTCTTTGTAGTTTGTACTCCTCAATTCTACTCTCCTAGATCTACTTAGAACAAAATTACTGCAGCGATGTCTCAAATCAATATCATGAAAAATTAAATTTACCAAGTTTTGACAAATTCCACTCAGAAGAGGAGGGTGGGATGATATTCTGACATTGGGAAAAGGAAAAAAAATTTAGCAAAAGACATGGGGATAAAGAAGATGCAATGGGCTTACTGCTGCTGATTCAACATCTCTTCATAACAACCCATGTGTATTGTATGTCCACATCTCATAACTAGTGTGCCTTTGGTTGAGTCAAAAAGGTACTGTCAACACGATGCAACATGATCAGGACAACACAACAAATACTTATGTTTCTTAACTGTACATATTTAACAACTGGGAATCAGACCTCGTAGCAGATAGGGCAAGAATTCTTCATAGAGTCTTCCACACACTCGTGGTTGTCACGCAGGCTCACAGTATAGCAAGAACCTGTACTTACAGTAAAAAAAAAATTAAAAAATTAAGGAATAAATCTCTCACCTTGCCAAATCATTTGAAATGGCACCAATGCAAATAACCCAAATTAGTACCAACATTTCACCCATGTCACTCTTCTATAACCTAATGATCAGTCATCTCAACAAGCATTTACATTTAAAAAATTAAAATGCATATGACAAGTGATTGGCTACAAATTTACAATATAGTGATAGCCAAAATGAGAAAAGAAAAGTTAGGGGTAGGGAGTTAATTACAAAGCAAGCCATGGAAGAGAGATGAGGACAAGAAAAAGAATGCCTTGCATGCAAGAAACATGGTTTTAAAATTCTGATTTCTTAAAGATTGAATTATGAATGTTGTGAGAAATAGCAGCTAAAGAAAATATGCAAGTGAAAGAAAAGTAATGGACCGCTATCCAAATCCCAGAAGTATAGCAACTGATGGGAACCTTGAGAATTAGGAAAAGTGAGAAGAGATAACCAATACACTTGTTCAAAAACAAAATTATAACACTGAAATTAAACTCACAGGAACAAAATGAAATCTCATGAACAAAAATAATTACATGCAAGCTTCACTAAAGGCTTTAGAAAGACATTTATTTTGGGGAAGGCAACTTAAGAAATTTACGAACCGCTACAAACACAAAAAAATGGACCTACGTGTCCCCTCACCACCATACCAGGGTAATGGTCACATAATCCATGAGGTTTTGAAGCCTAAAGTGACACTTGATTGTTTTACCACCCTCTCCAAGACACTAAACCCACAAGTACTATTTGGCATTAAGAGGCCAGTGGAGCCCTACTCTGAGTAAGATGGGAAAGAAAAGAAGAACAATAAAGAGAGTATAAATTAATTAGGAAGAAATGCAAGTCATTATGAATCTGAGAATCTCTAATGCAACTAAAGTTTGACTAGAAAGATCATAAATTAAGCTTATGGATCACAAGACCAGCTAGTAAAGGACCCAAAGCACTAGCTTAACACTAGATAAGGAAAATGTCTATAACTAAACCTCACTTGATGATACAAAATTCTCTTTCTTACAGAATTATATGAGTGATCATTAATGAGGGGTGACAAATAACATTTAAGGCATGGACCTAATTTACATATTACAGCTCATAGTCAATCATCAAGGTTAGAATCATTACTTTAAAGTGGCCACAATAATGAAAACATGGTCATGGCCATTTCTCGAAATTACACTACTTATACCTTCAAAAGATTTTGAATGATCAGCCTTTAGTGGTAAGGGAAAAACAAAGAAACAGCATCAACTGATGATCCAAGTGTCATCATCAAGCTTTAAAATTCATCACATCGATTAAATTTTTTTGGAAGTGTGTCCTTAAAACAATGTGCATTACGTACTCTAAATGAATGTTTTATGTTTATAGGATCAAATACAAATGACAAAAAAAGTTATATTAAGTAATCAACACATATAGCTAAGAGCCAATATCGATTAGCCAGTTTAGTGTAAATGGGCTTGCAACTTAATAATTCCTCCTTTATAATTGCACCATTTTCCTCTTTAGAAAGTTGCACTATTTCTATTTTAGGTATGCTCACATACACTTTTTGTTTGTGTTCACATACCAAATACTCATCTTACCCTTACGTTTGATAATTACCCTTGTTACCTCACTTTACTCTCTTTCCTTTGTTTGTAATCACATGGGTATTTTGGTTATTTAATTCCATTCTTAATCTTTGTGTCCTACCCAAATGGTGTAATTAAAGAAAAACGGAGGAAGTATGAAGTAACCTTACAGGGTCGCACACATAAGCATGGGTCGAATCAAACCACAAACATGGGCTGAGCTCAAAGCGAGGTTGACTTAAATCACCTCAAGCATAACCCAAGTTGGGAATGTAGCTTCATGGTAGCGGGCCAAAGGAGGAAGATAAGGAAAGAATGACTTTGTCTAAAATTTCCTTAATTAATGCATTTTAGTGTAGAAATAAAATCAGTAAATATATAATTGTAATTTTATTTTAAATTTAATGAAAAATAGAAAGAGAGAAGAAAAATCTTCCTACTAATTGATCTAAGTTGTCATCTCTTGTCACGGTTTGATCATTTGTGTGCCCACCAATAAAAGAGCTTTAATTGAGACTCATATGTAACCCAATAGAATTGTCTGAGGAAGCATCCTACAAGCAGTATATTGTTGTTTATGATAGATTCATAAATATATGTCTATAGATCCCCTTAACTAATCCAGCCCACGCGACACATTCTTCCTAAACTATATATTTAAAACACTTTGAACATGAACAACCAGTGCACCACCACATTGATTGTCTGGTACATGGACAAACAAAAGGCAAAAACCAAAGCACTCAACCAGTGAAGTGAACAACCAGTGCTTGTTTTCTTTGTGATTATCAATAAAGCTTAATATAATTATAACTTATAAGTTCACGACCAATCAGTAAGCTAAGGGCCCTAAAACCAGCTTAAACCATCAGGAGTGGTATAATTTTGCACTAAAAATAAAGAAGATAACAAATAAGAAAAATAACAGTGTGAACATGAACAAAACAAGGAAAAGTAGAAATGCACTAAGCGCACAAGCAATAATATGGTAAGACACTAAATGTCAGAATTTACCAACAACGGCTATTAAGGCATACCACACTTTGGACAGTGAAAGAAGTTCTCACGCCCACCAACCCTGAAATTTGAATGAGCATTGCAGTTGACAATGACAATCAAAGTTAAAAACAGCACAGAAACAAAACAAAACAAAAAATAAAATAAAAAAAAGTTTGAGCTAGATAACGATGTTGACCTACAAATTCCACACTCAGTGCAATGAAATTGTTTTTTCTCAATCTGTAAAAAAAATCAATTATTGCAAGCCAATGCAAAGGCAATGTAGATCACTATTTCACAGCTTTTGCCATAAATAAAAAGAAGATGATGAGGAAGAGGGTGAAAAGCAATTAGTTCATACCTCATCATCATAGAAGTTGCACACCTCACAAAAATACTCACCCATGTTAACGCCACAACTACAGCAGACCTTTGCTACCTGTACACCGAAATACAGCATAAAACAAATAATAAGTATCTTTTTTCTGTTATTTACCAATACGATAGAAATGAAAAACTAATAATCCAATTCAAAAAATTATCAAATAATAACCATCTTAGTTATTGTCAGTATAATATAATTCTTCTGTTCCCCTAATATAGCAACAATTACTATTTTAGAATGTTTCGCGACTATTCCAACCTTTCCTTTTTTTTTGCACATCCTTTATCTCTATTTCTACTCATCACATTTGGCTATGTCTTTATTTCTCTCTATCACCCTCCTTATCTTATAACACACCAATTAATACAAACCCCGACTCAAAAATCGTTACAAATCATATTGCTTTCTTCCATTAGTATCCAAATCATAATAGCAAATTGGAATAATCTTTGTTTTGCCAACAATAGTTGATCAATTCTTGTTAAACCTTCCTATTAAATAAAAAATTACTGAAAAGAAAATGAAAAACTAACCGGTTGTTCAAATTCACAAACTGCACAAACAACCTGCAATAAATCCCCAAATAATCAAACCCTCAATCCAAAAACAAATACTTAAGAAATTACAAGAAAAAAAAGTTGGGAAATTTTACTTGTTTAATATCACGCCGATTAATCTCATGATGCTCCTTAACATTGCTCAAAGAGTTCTAATTTCAATCAACAAAATCCCAAATCACCAATTTATCCAAAATTGAAAAACAAATACAAATTATTAAGAGCGAGAATTTGTTAAAACTTACTATAGCTTCGTTGTGACAATGGCGGCAGGTAAAAATGCGATAACAACATGGTGCTCGAATTCGGCATCGTCTCTTGTAATGCTCGCAGCTGCAAAACAAATTCGAAAAAATAATTGGGGATATTTGCAGAAGAGTTGAAAATTTTAGGAAAGATGAAGTATATAAAATTGAAATTACCCGAATTGAAGCTTCCCAAAATGTAGGAGATTTTCGGGAACAGGGGTGTTTTGGGGGTTTTCGGGAACAGAGGTTTGTTCCGCCATTGATGAAGGTTAGAGGTTTCGGTTGACTGGTTGAGTTAGCAGTAGTTAAGAAGGTTGGATTTAATTTAATTTTTGAAGGTTGCAGCAACTTAACAAACGGTGTTGAATTAGGATTTGCGGAATGATCCACCAAAATTGATCTGTACTGTCCCAATAGGGGTTTGAGTCGTTTGACTGGTTGAGCATGAGTTGGGTACCTCAAACAGTAATACGAAGTATTTTAATGGGGTACTCCGTATTTGACAATCAACAACCGAGTCATATTGAGGCCCTTATGTGTTTCTAGACCTAGCAATCGAGTCCTTCAGGTCGGTATGGGTCGAGTCATATCAGGCCAGGTGAAGTTCGATTCAACATGTAATCAAATCGGGTTTAGGTCAAGTCACTTGGCGTATCGGGTTAACTTCGGGTAGGGGTACAGTCGGGTCGGGTCACATTGGGGTATCAAGTCAAGATCGAGTCGACTCCACTTTGGGTCAGGTCATGTAGATCTTTGGTTTTGGGTCAATTTCGAGTCATTTTCAAGCTAATTTGGGTCATAGGTTGAATCATTCGAGTCCTTACTTTAGGTGACGGCTGGATTCCTAGAGGGGGATTTAGCGATTGCCCCGACACCATAAGAAAAAAAAAATACAAGTATATATCATTTACATGAGAGTGAAGGATTAGCTCAAGTGGTTAAAACTCCCCTCCTGGTTCAAATGATCCTGGGATTATACCAGGTAATCTTATGTTATAAATGATTTTCCTATATAACCCTATCTTTTACCCTACTTCCTGAAGTAAACCTAAACTTGTAAACATTATTAAATTGGATGGATAAGGTAACTCCGATAATAGTTTTTACGCCAAATTAAAAAATAACACCTGCTAAAGACCCCGATTTTGATAATAACACCTGTTGAAATTTTTTTTTTATTATAACACCTTCAAAAATCCCAAAATTTTGGTTTCACCACCACTTAACTTTTCCATCCAAAAAACCGTTAGTGGGCCCCACAGTGTACACGTGTGATTATTGGATAAAAACCACATGTCACTATACTATTGGTTTTAAAAATTTAATTAAAAAAAAGAAAAAAAAATTTAAAAAAAACCCCAAATAACCCAGCCACCACCTTCACCACCGGCGTTGGTTCCCCCTGCCCACCGTCGTCACCCCAACCCGTGCTGCCGATTCCCCTTAGCCGACCGACGAAACCAGGCCAGCCTAACCGACCACCAGAACAACCCAGCCTCAACCCCAATTCGATTTGGTTTGGGTGCGGGTTTGGGTTCAAGTGAGGGTGAGAGATGTAAAGCGGTATTTGGGTTTGGGTTTTTCGGCGACGGATCTGGGTGTGGGAAGGAAAGAACGGGTTTTTCGGCGACGGATTTGGGTAAGGAAGGCGAGTTCGGTGATGTTGCTGAGGTAGGCGGTGGGGCGTGATGTTGCGGTGGTAGGAGACAAGAATGGGTGGTGGTTTTCGTCGGTTTCCGTTGGTTTTCAGGGTGTGGGAAGGAAAGAACGGGTGGTGGGGCTGGTTTTCGTTGGTTTTGGGTGGGGACAGAGGATGTCGACGGCCTGAGTTAGGGTTGCGGTGCTGGGGCAGGTGGCTCTGGCGGTGGGGTTGGCTGGGGTTGGGGATAGATTTTTTTTTTTAATTTTTTTTCTTTTTTTTTAATTTTCTAAACCAATAGATTATTGACACGTGTCAATTAAGGGTCCCACTTAACGGTTTTTTTGGATGGAAAAGTTAAGTGGTGGTGAAACCAAATTTTTGGGATTTTTGGAGGTGTTATAATAAAACTTTTTTTTCAACAGGTGTTATTATCAAAATCGGGGTCTTTAGCAGGTGTTATTTTCTAATTAGGCCTAGTTTTTATTTATTTTTTTCTCTTCAATCTCACTATTTGAACACATTCTCTCTATTAATGGTGGATTCAAGCAATATACACTCTTACTACCTCCTCCTTCTCCTTTACAATTTAAAAACTCAACTTTAAACCTAACATTTTACCCTAAAGAGTGAATTTTCATCTTTTCTTTTCATTTTGATAAACATTATAATTTGAAGATTATTATTGGTGTTATCTTTTCCATCCAATTTAATGAATTTTTGCAAGTTTAGGGTTATCTCAGACAATAGTGTACAAATTAGGGTTACATAAGAAAAACATGTAAAACAAAAGGTTACATGATATGATATCCCTACTCCATACTATTTCTTTGACTTGTGCATTGGATAGTGTAGAATTAGGTTTTTTAATTTTGTTTTTTTTTAAAGAAATTAGGGTTTTATTTTTTTAATAATAAGGTAGTTGAATATATTGGTGACTCATTGGAAAAATGTTCATGTAGTCGTTTTATTTGTGTAATCCTACATATAGTATCAAGACTTTCATCAATCAATATTTAGAGCATTTCTCAATCTCTAATAATTAGAGTCATAAATATAATTATTAGAGGCAGAGAATTTCTCCAATGTTTTCATACCAATACTTCATTTACTGGTAGTTTAGTAGAGCCTCAGAAAAATAAAGATAATGAAGAGTATGAGCAACTTGCAAAATTGATCATACATACCATAAAATTACTATTGCGGCTAAGCATTACCAAAAGCTCATATACAAAAAACACAAGCTTTTGATCTTTGATGACATGATACACATCATACATCAAAAGTTCGTTATGTCATACATTACCAATTTCACACATTACTACATACTAAACCATATAGCTTTTGCTTCAATAAGCATATCCCTTAGAGAGCCATTAAGGTGAGCACCTAGCACGTCCTTAGCGGACCCAACGTATGTGCCACCAATGAACACGGCTGGACGGTAGGGTTGCACCCTAGCTTCTGTAGCGCCGACTCCATCTCCCTACCTGTTGGATCCCTATCTAGTTCATAGACCGCAGGGCTTGCACCAAGATCATAGAATAGTGTCTTAATACTATGACACATACAACATGAACTTTTGGTGAATATCGCTGCTGCCTTTGATCTTGCCAACTCACTCACTCTATCCATTATGATTATTGATGTATACTCTTAAGTTAATTCTCTTGATCAGTATTTTAGAATGAAGCTAGAATAAAATCAAGTGATTTTTTTTTTTCTCTTCTACTTGTTTTTTTAGGTAGCTTGTTGACTATTTTTGCTTTGTAGTTGACATGAATTTATAAGGGTTGAAAAAGGTCATATGCATATTGATGAAAGCAAAGGATAATTAAAGATAAGGTATAGAATTGCTTCATTTGGTTGATTATGACCCTAGCCATTTGACATACGTACATGAGCATCTTGGATACGATATTTGTTCTGTTTTTCATAATAGGTCACATTTTTGTTTAAAGATTGTAACATAAAAGGTTTATTATTAATTGCTAACAAAAATTATAGGTAGTAATGTAGTATATATATTGAGTATATCTATTATGAAGTTAAATTTATAGTTTATATTCAATTTAGACAACACATGTATTATAGATATTATAATGTTGTGTAACCAGAAGAAAAAAAAAATGTTTAAAGTTAATAAAATACCAAAACCACAAAAATCAAATATAGTATTTATTTATAAAACAATATATAGGGAGTATTACTTTGGTCTTTAAAAATCTACTATTTTGAATTTTTTTCGTAACAATCATCGACTCATCCTCAAAACAAGATAAACTTAAGAACACGATTGTACTGACACAGTGACACTAGCGAAAGATCAAAGGTTTGTATATAACTATATAAGTAATCATATCAAATATCAATACATTTAATCAGAAGTTTCAGAACATTCGTACAATTAATAATTGATCCTTTCGAAGATATTAACTACTCTTAAAGTCTTAATGAAGATAAACAAAATCGAAAAATCGGTTAAGTTAGTTATGATTAGATTAATTAGTGAGCCTTTTACAGGAATATTACGAGTGGATTAGTAGGGATATATTCCTTTCTTTAATGGATTAGTCTTTTCAAAGTGATTAGATATGAAATCTGTATCGTTTACTATAAAATTAGTTAAGAAGGATCTTCTTAATGCAACATTATCTTGCTAAATGACACGAATATTACCATTTACCAATAAATTACCAGTAAAGCAAAAATATCATGCTTAAAGGTTTGCTAATTTAGCATGATATATATTGTTCTGCAATATGTAAGGTGCATAAAATTCTTGGGAAAAGCTAATTAAAATATAATCTTTTACTCTTGCAGTCTTGCTTATTGACCATTTATTATATTAATGTAGTGCTTAGAGTCAAAAATTACACACTAATCCCAATTTGCTTACAACATACATGATTAAGGGTTTCAATTCGGGTAAACAGTTCGGGTTTGGATTGGGTTTATCAGTTTCGGGTTATAACGAGTCAATTTATAACGGGTTGAAAATATTCGCAGGTCGATTTGTGTCGGTTTTGAAAATCATCAGGTCAGTTCGGTTTGGTTTTTTTTTTATTGCGGTTTCTATTCGGGTTGGGTCCTAATCGGGTCGGGTTGTAGTTGGTTCGGGTCATAATTAGTTTGGGTTGAATCTGGTCGGTTTGAAAATGGATTTAGCCAGTTTAAAGTGGGTTTCGATTCAAAACAGTTCGGGTCCTAATCAGATCGGGTTGTAATCAGTTCGGGTCATAATCAGTTTGGATTAAACTGGATTGGTTTGAAAATGGGTTTCGGTTCAAAACAGATCGGGTGACATCGGGTCCGGCCATTATCAGTTCAGGTCATAATTGGTTTGGATTAAACTTGTCGATCGACGGGTTTACTCAATTTAAAGCGGGTTTCAATCCAAAACATATTGGGTTAAAATCGAGTTGGAACATTATCGAATCAAGTTAGTCAGATAATGAGTAGGAATGGGTCATGTTATAATCAAGTTAAGTCATAAATAAGTTAGGTTTATCAAGTAGTGAGTTGAAAAGGATCAGATCATAAACATATTGGGTTACGGGTTGTAAACAATTCAGTCATAATAGGTTAATGGTCGTAAACGATTCGGTCTCAACGGGTTACGGGTTGTAAACAGTTCGGTCTCAACAGGTTACGGGTTGGAAACAGTTCGGTTACAACGAGTTACGAGTTATAAATGGTTCGGTCACAAAAGGTTACGGGTTGGACCGGTTCAGGTTTATCGGATTTTTGCCGGGTTCAAACGGTTTTCGGTTTAAAATGGATCGGGTTACTATTGGGTTCAGACGTAATCGGTTCGGGTTGTTGTCAGTTTCGGGTTGTAACAGTTTGGCTTGATAACGGGTCGGGTCAGTAACGGTTCACACAAATTCGGTTCAGTTCAGTTTTGGGTTAGGAAAAATTGGGTCGAGTCGGTTTTCGGTTTCCAAAAAATGGATTTTTAACGGTTCGGTTCCTTTTCGGATCGGTTCAAAACAGCCGAGTTTAACAGTTCGGGTTAGAAACTGACAGCTCTATACATGATACATGTTTGTTCTTTGAATATTATTATAATGTTTTCTGTTTATGAAATTAATTATATTCATATTTACTAGAACGTTTCTTTTTTCAAATGTTTCCTCTCTTTATCTCAGTTTCTTTAGATCGCTCACTCATGTACTACCTCCGTTTCAAAATTTTTGCAATTTTGGGTATTATTTATGAGATATAAAATATTCTAAAATTACAAAAAAATATAAAACGGAGGTAGTATATCTCTCTTTATTTCTATTTATCCCTCTTCGTTTTCATCGCATGTCATGTGCTGATGTGCGTCTAAAATATCATATATCTCTTGCATGTAACAATAAGTTAAAAAAACGAAAGTATGTATTCACATATACTTCGGGCAAGAGAATCTAATCTTTATTACCATTCGAGAGTAGGACTGATTGACGTGTAGTTGTAATTTCTTACACAAGCATGTTTATCAAAATGGTCAATTGGATAAGGTACAACCTTTAATGTCAACCCAAAACATGGGCACACACGTTAAGAGATTCGATCTTGTCCAATTTTATCCATGTATATTATCTAAATTTCCCTTTTTTTTTTCTTGCCAAATGTTGTAAAAAGATTGAGGAGGTTTTACATTCTAAAAGAAGCTCATATAAAGCATGGAAGACTTTGTGATAATGTTAGCATATAGATGGATTTGTGGCGGGGGGTAAAAGCAAGCTTATTAGACCTTAAGGAAAGGAATGTCAACCATTCTAAGGAAAGGGATTGTGACTAATAAATTCCAAGCTCTAAACTAGAATCCAGAAGCTACATTCACCTCCTTTATTAAGTTGTACCATACATAGGGGTGTAAACTAGCCAAGCTTTACGAAGTATTTGAGATCGGGTAGGAATTTTAGCTCTACTAAGCTCGACTTAAAAAGCTCGCTCGTAAACATGCTAAAATTTTAGTTAGCTATATATTGAGTTATTAGTTGATAATTATAATTAAACACATATATATTTTTAGTTTATTTAAGTTTTAACAGGAAAAAAAAAAAAGATAATAATTATATACAATATGGCCATGGGTTATAATCAACTTATTATTAAGAGAGAGTTTTAGATAAGAGCAAGGTTCCAATTTTAAGTCTAATTAAGTAATTATACTTTGTAAAAGCTAGATATGATAGAGTTACTAGGCCATCTCCTAATAAATCTGATAAGGAGTCTTATTAGACCAGAGTCTCTCTAAGATTAGCTCGGCCGAGGTTACTTTGAAGAGGGATGGGGGTCAAGGGAGGGATGGTAAGGAAATGACCACTCCCAAGTTGCTCTTTTTGTTTTGGGCATTGATCCTACAACCTTACCGCAAAACACATGTCAAATTACAAAGGGTCAAAATCTAAAAGTTCTTACCACTAAACCAAATACTCCTCAATAATTATAATTACATATAGTAAACAGGAGTCTATTTGGAGGGAATTTTATACTTCGTATCTCTTTCTTGTTTTTTTTGCAGAACCAATAATTTGCCTAAAAACTTCTTTATATATTTACTTTGTACTCCATATTTATTATTATGCTTGACTATCTATTATCTAAATACATTTCTCTAAAAACTTTTATATTTCAATTACTATTAATTTCAAAAACTCTGAAAATATCTAGCTAGTAATAACAACATTACAAGTTATACAAACATACAAGTGTACAAGCCATGAATCACACACATAGTCAAAACTTAAAATTCCTTTATTCAAAATAGAGAATCTCTCCTTTGGCCTCCCAATCCATATCACCAAGCGTCATCAAGTGGATTCTTCTAAATTAGAAAAACAACTTTGTTATGGCAGCTATTTTCAATTAGATATATATGTATGTTGGCCCATAATGTTTTCTTCTGGTGAAGTGATTCTGAGTGGCAGAATGTCTACGTTTAACTGGTTGATGTTTACGTCCAAATTCTCCCACATTACAGATTCTTTCATCAATAACGATAAATTTTGCTGACTTCCAATTTACAAGTCACCAACGAAAAAGAAGTTCAATTTTCATAAAACATTAGCTTATAATATTTGTAAGTAGTACTCCGTATCTAATTAACTTAGCAATGGAATTATGAAGTACTCCCTCCGATCCTCGATCTTTAGTTGGAAGAACAAAATCGATTTAAGGGAATACTTTTTAATGTCTATATATATTATCTAATGAGCTCAATTGATAAATGTATTGTTCTCTTCAAGATAAGAAGATTTTTTTTTTCTTTTTTTACCATTGTACAAAGCATAATATACATAAATGTATGAGAATTTACATAGTGTTTATTGGTTTAATTGAATGCTTATATATAGATTTGATAACGCTGACACGATCAAATCACTATCATAAAAAGTTGAGATTAGACATTATATAGAAATCGATTATTAACTCAACTCAAAAGACTCTATCACCCAAATATATCCAGGATTGAACCTAATTTAATGACTATTTTTGCCCCTTCAAAAATAGTCAAATAAATTAAGGATCGAAGATAGTAAATATCTTAAGTGTTATACTTGTATATATAGTAAACGTAACTGATGATATTATTATACCTAGTTACATTTCTAGTTCATCTTAGTATATATGCAGCTATATCAAGAGCTTACAAAAAGAAAAGCCCTATGAACAATGCTGCAATTGAAAAAAAAAAAATAAAAAATGGCGTTCGAGTTTTAGGAACAAGTAAATATAGTTAGAACCAGATAGCCTTAGCAGCAATTAGCATTTCTTTGAGGGAGCCTGTAAGATGGGCAGCAAGAACATCCTTAGTAGAACCGACGAATCGGCCTCCGATGAACACTGCAGGGACAATAGGCTTACACCCTAACTTCTGCAATGCAGACTCGAGCTCTCGACCTCTAGGATCGCGATCAATCTCGTACACTGCGGGACTTGCACCCATGTCATAGAATAGTGACTTGATGCTATGACACATACAATCTGAGGTTTTGACAAGTATAACAACTGCCTTTGATTTTGCTAACTCATTCACTCTTTCCATTGTATTATAGCTTAATAATAAGCTTTTCTCTAAGTAAAGGTTAATACTTAATACTATATTAGTGTAGTATTAGTTGATGAGATTATATAAACAATAAGATTGGCTATTTATAAGGAGGGAAAGATAGAGGATTGACATTGGTTAATAATGCAAAAAAGTGTAAAGGGAAATGATAATTTAATTAAATAAAATGGAGTTTTATTGGATAAGAATATAAGGGAAGAAATGATATTCCAAAGGATAATAATTAATAATACTTGTATTTGTATTTGGTCATGGACAAGGAAGATTTTATAGTACAATGAATCTGCATGCTATGCCTCTCGATCAATAAAATTGCATCTTGTGATGTTGTATATATATGTTTATTTTCTCATAATTGCTATGGGTAAAAAGATCGATGTTTATTGTATAATCGGTTGTATCACGATCATAGTACTACAACTAATTTGTTAGTTGTTTTGTGTGCATAGTATAATCAAAGTTATTTTTAAACTTATTTACTGATATAAAGATCCGTTAAATATGCAAATGAGCATTAAATAATCATAGGTACGATTTGAAGACCACATAAAAAATAAACACTACATTATGATATAGAGACAATAATATTTATTCAACTTATTATTGACTTTCTTCAAAAGTAATTTATTAAAGAAAAAAATAATAATAATAAAAGCAGCTATGTTGCCTATGTAAATTGGAGTACAAGTAACTTATGTAAAATAGAAATTTTTTCTAAAAAAAAAAAAAGAAAAAAGTAAAAGAAACTATTCTTATTAACCAAATCTTATACCCTTTGCATCTTACAATATTTTTTTTCTTATAACAAGGTAAATTATATTTCCCTAAAAGGGGAGGTGTAAAGAATACATTTAAGATAAAGTTTGTGAAGAAAGGAATATATTTAATTTATGTTAAAATAAATAGTTTTGCACTAAGAATCTAAGTGGCCCCGATAAGTTTAGCTCATTGTTTAAATAGAAAAGTAAGCTTTTAGGAGGGTGGTCGACTGGTCGGTTATCCAAATCTATTGCCATCTATGTAGGCCTCAAATCATTTATGTCTTAATTAAGCATGCAAAGCTCTATTTTGTTATTCTTATTTTCACTTATTTCAATATGAAAATAAGATAAGTATAAAAATATAAAATCCTACAGAGGCTGAAAAGGGTAGCCTAACTAGATATAATAAGATCTAACAAGTTAAGCACCAATTTTTATATATGGTTGGCCACACCGTGTGGCCAATTATCATGGGGATTACTTGGTTAGTGTTACAAGGGTTACTTGGTCAGTGTTGTTGGATTTCGTAGTGTCCGACACTACGCGGAATGAAACCCTACCAAAATCCGCACACAAATTAAAGTAACTAAAATGCATATTAATTAACAATCACATAATTAATTAACAAGGAGAGAGAAAGAAGAAAAGACGATCTTACCCTTGATGCGTGCTTCGCTCTTTCTAAGAGCTCGTACTTGAAAGCATAAAGCTCCGCAAATGCGCAAGCCTCCGACGGCTCTCACCCTCGAGAGTCGACCCGAACGGCCCCTACCCCGAAGCTTAGTCGGGGCTAGACCAAAAGAACTTAGTCGGGGCCCCTACCCCGACGATCTTACCCTTGATGTGTGCTTCGCTCTTTCTAAGAGCTCGTACTTGAAAGCATAAAACTACGCAAATGCGCAAGCCTCCGACGGCTCTCACCCTCGAGACTCGACCCGAACGACCCCTACCCCGAAGCTTAGTCGGGGCTAGACCAAAAGAACTTAGAGTATTAGAACTAAGGTATTCTCTTCTTGGAGATCCCTTAAAGTTCACAACTCAAGTGTCCCTTCCCAAAGCCAAACGATTGTTATTTATAAGGAAGGGAGTTCTTGAATTCCAATCTCCCATCAATGTGGGAGAGTTGGTAAAATGCATTTTATTCAATTTATTATAATTCAAAAATCAAATTGAAATTCAAATGAATCAACAAACAACATGTGTCAAGTGGAGAGCAAGGGGTTAGGTGATGACCACAAGGGGGGGGGGACCATCCACCTCTTGCTCCCCAAGCAACCCACACACAACCAATGCACGCGCACCAGCTGGTGCTGCCAGCCTTGGGCACCAAGGCTGCCTCGCTCTGGCCCCTTGGCTAGGCATGCTAGCTGGGCGTTGTGCGTGCACACAACCAAGCACGCAAGCATGCACAGCACGTTGCCCACTCACGCATTGCGTGCTGCTGCTGCTGCGTTGCTTGTGCTAGGCGCAGCCCAGCACGATGTTGCCTCGCACGCTAGGCTTTCGCACTAGCCGGCAATAGCAAGCCTCAGTGATGCGGGCTGCTATGCGTGGCTGTGCGCTGCTATTGCTAGCGAGCTCGCTCACTCACTGCGACCATGTGCGAGGCCCAGCAAGCACTTGCGTGCTGTTGGCCTTGCAATGGTGCAGCTGGTGCTTCTAGCTCGCTTATCATATGCGCCCAGCCTGTGATGTGCTAGCTCGACCTAGGAAGCTATGCTTACTTGCGGGCTGCTGAGCGCGAGGCACTAGCATGCTAGCACGCCTAGCGCGCAAGCGATGCTGGACATGTCGTACCAGCCAGCTAGCGAGCGCTGCTAACTAGCTTGGCATGGTGCGGCTGCCTTGGCTAGTTATATTGCCCTTGGCCCTCAGATTGCTCGTGGCATTCCGAGGCTAGGGGTATACTTGTTGTTCGCTTGATTTCTCGTCTCGTCGATTCCTAAATTTGACTCGACTTACGAAGCTCGGTTTTCGACGCCCTAAGCTCGAAATCCGACGTCTATGTTCGTAATACTCTAGTGACTCATTTAATCCTTCGGATTAATTCGTCCTTTTGGTTCGGTTACTCGATTGGGTGTGACCCGAAGGGTTCAGTCAAGATTAAGCTGTAATATTAATTATACATTAATATTACCTATCGGAAGCGGCCTTCAGCTAGGTATTCCGATCACTTGACCTCACTGAATAATTAGCTTTCTAATAATTCCGAACCCTCTATCGGAATAATACACTTGTTTGAAGGACATCATTCCTTTCAATCTCCCACTTGTCCTTTCGGACAAGTGCGTTGTTAGTGTATAGCCCATTTCCTATGTCACTTAATATCTCTTCATGAACTGTAAGGTAAGATTCTTCGTCATCCTTATTACGTCCAGAAGTGTTTCTCGATTTCCGAGTTCGACTGTCAATAAGCAGATGATTTCTAAAATTCATCTGAGCACAACCATGCATTTTCATAGTCTCGCTCTTCGAGAGGCCTTGTAAACAACATAGACATTTTCCCTATTGTTAATAGGGGGACATTCCCAGCCTTGTATTGTTAGCTTCCCTTAATAAGAGGACCTAGCCGCCCGAGTGTTGCTGCTATAATCCCCATTTACGGCAGACGTTTGACAACATTAAAACGGACTAATACTCAAACAAGAGAACTTACAGTACTCATGGTTGAGGAAAGAGGTTTCGATAGCTATAATGAGAAATATACTTATGACGATTTTAAATCTCTTAAAGTATTCTCATAGGTTGATTCGGTATAGTTTCAAACAAATACCTGTGCAAATTATTTATGACAATCATGTCTTTATAGCACAAGAAACGGTGCTATAAATCATACTACACACTAATCTCAAGTGGTCATTAATCGTCCATCATTTAAATGACCTTGATTAGGGATAATTTTCGATTAAAATATTCAATGTTCACTTAACATGTGTTTCTTTATCCAAGACATTGTCTTGATACCCTGTTTTGAATATTCTCATAAATCGAATGGACTCATTATTTAATTCTAAACCACAATTAAATAGAAATGGAGTGATAATAATTTTGGTGAAAATTAAATTACTCCAAAAATGAATGGTTCAACATAGTGTTTTACATTAAAATCCTCAAATTTAATTAAAACACATGAATAGGGAAATCAAAGCCAATCTCCAACGTGCCTGATTCCCATTGCCTCAACGTGCTTGTTGTGTTTCACTTGAGGCAAAGGTTTAGTGAGTGGATTGGCTGCATTGTCGTCCGTTCCAATCTTACAAATTCTGATTTTACCCTCGAACTTCCATTCCCTTATCATGTGAAATCGCCTCTTGACATGTTTGACCTTCTAATTTTCCCTTGGCTCCCTGGCCTGATCAATAGCTCCATTGTTATCAAAATAGAGGTCTATTGGACCCTTGATTGAGGGTACAACATCAAGTTCGCCAATGAATTTACGAATCCAAACTGCCTCCTTAGCTGCTTCTGAAGCTGCCAAGTATTCGACTTCAGTTGTAGAATCTGCAGTTGTGCTTTGCTTAGCACTCTTCTAACTAAATGCTCCTCCATTTAGACATAATATGTATCCTAACTGTGCCTTGGAGTCTTCTCTGTAAGTCTGGAAGCTTGCGTCGGTATAACCTTTAACAACCAAATCATTATTCCCACCATAGACTAGAAATTTATCCTTGTTCCTTTTCAGGTACTTTAGGATATTCTTGGTCGCAGTCCAATGCGCCTCTCTTGGGTCTGATTGGTATCGGCTCATAGCACTCAAGGCATATGATACATCCAGATTAGTACATATCATGGCATACATGATCGATCCAATAAGCGAAGCATATGGAATCTGATTCATCCTCTCTCACTAAACAGGTGTCTGTGGACACTGCTTCTTGCTGAGAGTTATACCATGTGACATGGGTAGGTGCCCTCTCTTGGCCTCCTCCATGTTGAATTGTGCCAGTACCTTATCAATATAAGTACTTTGGCTCAATCCAATTATCCTTTTAGATCTATCCTGATAGATCTTGATGCCTAATATGTACTGTGCCTCTCCCAAGTCCTTCATTGAAAAGCACTTTCCAAGACAAGCCTTTACGGACTCTAACATTGGAATGTTGTTTCCAATGTGCAATATTTCATCGACATATAAGACGAGGAATTCGATGTCATTCCCACTGACCTTCTTGTAAACACAAGACTCATCTGGATTCTTGATAAAACCAAACTTACTAATGGCTTCATCGAATCGCAAATTCCAACTTCTGCTTGCCTGCTTTAATCCATAAAT